TTTTTTTGGATTCTACAAGGCTTCAGTATCTAGTACTCTCTTGGCAGCAAGCGCTGCCTCTTGTCAGCTGTCTGTCTGATTTCAACTTCATTCTCTCGGGGTAACAGTCTGAACTCTAAACCAGAGTTACCTGCCTCTGACGCCCTAGCCGCTGCTGCTACAGATCCGCAAACCATCTATCTTTGCTTTAAAAAATGCTTTATAAGTTATCCCACTGTCTGTCTTGCCTGAATACTGGGTCCCTTTGTTCAGAGTCATTACACAGGGACATTAAATCTCCCATTTTTAATGTAATTTGATCTTATTTTTTAATATGACTGAGAACATTGAGCACAAACCAGGACAACCTTAACTTAGTTGAAGAGCTTATAAAGACAAAGAGCTAACAACATAAAGTAGCACCAAAACCAGGCAAACAGTGTGTCAATATTTAGGAAATCAATTCATCAGGTGCTTTTATTTCTGTTTTTTCCTCAGTTTTTAGAGCCGTTAAAGTACAGTTATTTTAATTGCTCAAAATATTGCACACACAGTGTGGCATTTAAACACATTCCCCTGAAACCGACAGCTGTATTTTCTTTAAGGTTAATGTATGCAAATACACATTCTTCTTCTCAATGAGACATTTTTACCTTTTTTTTTGCCACCATTGTAGTCCTTAGCAACTGCACTGGTTTTTAAATGGTGCCCTAGCTAATCCCCACCTCTAAAGATAAATCACCAATAATGGCTATTAAGTGTTTTTAGTAATACGGTATTATTTTCTTGTGTAGTGTAATAGTTTTTACACTTTTACTTCACTTAACCTCTGCTCCTCTTGATTCTGCATTTGGTCTGCTTTAGAGCAATGTCTTTCATGTGAGCATAGAAAAAGATTTTGAAAATTATTCATTTTCTGGTAGAGCAAATGGTACAGAAATCAGTGCTAGCAGTTAGATACAACAAGCACGCAGTCAACAGTCCGAGAATTACATTCTCTGGGGCGCTCTAGCTTTTTACATGACTGGACTCACTTCCTGCCAGACTGTGAGTACTCCTTACTGAATCAATGAAACAAAAACTTTGTTTGCCACAAAGGGTCTTATCTGTTAACAACATGTTTCCTATTATCATGTACCAATTGGTGAGCTTTGTGTGCACTCATAGAAACAACCATGTTCCAAATCTCCACCACTCCCCACCTTCCTTTCATTAAAGAATCTACAAGAACTCATGCCAGTAAAACATGAGCTCATTGTAATCTACTGTACAATCCAGGGCTTGACTACAATGAATTGTCTAACAGCAAAGACTAAATTCAGCCTCATTAAAAAGGACTGGTTTGTTTCAAGCACAGAATCTCCATCATACAAGTTTAGACTTTGACTAGACCAGTTAGAACTGATTAATTCTATGCTTAACTGAGGTCTCCTCATCTATTAGTCCTTATTGAACCCTTAGAGTAACTTTGGTTCCTTGGAAGGTCCACAATTATGTCTTCCCAGCGAGCAAAAATTAATTGAAAAGACGACATGATATACTTCCTGCATTTGGTTGAAAAGTAAAATTTTCAAATCGTTGAAAAGACATTGAAAACCCAGTTTAAATGATAATTTTTATGATTTTATTGTATTTTCATAAAATTATTAATTGCGTTTAATATTGAAAATCATTGATGTAACATCAAAAGATTACCAGGTGGGGTTATTAAAAAAAGAAGAAGAACTCCCCACAAAGCCTACAGTGGGATCCGTTTCTTTCTTTAATCTCATTTTTGTATCTTTACAAAGATGTAAACGCCTTAAATAAAGCGTTTTCCTCATTTTCCTCTCTATCTCATTACAGGAGGAGGGAGACTCCAGATTCTACTGTGAGCTGTGCAACAAGCAGTATGTGAGACAGCAGCAGTACGAGAACCATATCAACTCCTATGACCACAATCACAAGCAGGTGAGTCGGCTGACTTTAACAAGGCGCTCAGAGGCCTTCTTCATCCTGCTAAGCAGTAGTGTGGATTTGTTATAAACCACACTGTGAAACAGGACTCTAGCCTCTGACCACCAACAAATTACAGAGCCTTGCTGAAGTACTCAAACTGTTGAACTATTGCCCCATTTTATCAGATTCAAAAAATATTTATATAATATAATTTATTGAGATTGTATTTGTTTGGACAAAAAGTGAGTTGTTCATAATTGTAAAGTTTAGTTAAAGCTAAATGCTTTTTCTATGCATAAAACTTAACAAAATGTGCAAAGCTTTGTAATCACCTGCTTGGTAAATGGATATGATCTAATTTTGGCTTAAAAGGACAGTGTGTAATGGTTACAGGGATTACTAAGATAAATGTTATTAATATATTTTTTATCATCACTATGACGTCTCAGTCTTTATGTTTGCGCTTGCCTTAGAAATTGCTGATTATAATTACATGTGAGTCGGTTTCCATTTGTCGAGGCAGCACAAAGCTGATCAAGTAGTGACTATAGAGATCGCCATTACGCTGGAATGGGACTGTAGCAAGTTAAGCCTATATATAAATCCTACATAGACTAATAAGGTACTTTTATAAAATGTTCAAGACCACAACCAGGCACCGCCTTGTTATTATGAAGACGACCAATTTAAATCCCTGGTTGTTGCATGTTTTTTCTTCCTCTGAGCAGACTTGCATCTTTCCCCTGCACAGGGTCCATGTTTATTTGGCTCAGAGTGCCCAAAACAGGGGGACAAATCACCTGGGGTCCATTTTCAGTAGCAGGTTTAACAAACTCACATTCAAATCCGCAACTCTAAATTGATCTAGCCTAACGACGGGAACTCTGAGTTTTCAGTTTTACAACAGCTGCAATTAATTAGTTCAAACAACTTTTCCTAGCTCCACTCAGAGTTAAATATGTGCGTAACAAGTACGAAAAGCCATTACCAGTGGAGGCCGATTCGACGAGTCATCATGACAACAGGCAACAGGAAGTGCCTATTTCACCTCACCAGGACTACAGATTTTAATGAAGAAATGAAAAAAAAAATGGAGAATGTGTTGGCGACACAAAGACAGAGAAACAGCGCTACAGCTGCAAAGGAGGAGGAGTAGAAGTTTGCTGCTAGAGTTAATACATAGGTTAAATGAAGTGGGCTATGGCAGGCCGTGTTTACATTTATTTTAGATCACTAAAATAAGATTCTTCCTGATCTAAATAACACTCCTAGACTGAGCTGTAATAATATGTTTTCAAATTACATTTTTTGCAGCAGAAAATTTCAGAAAGTAAAAAAAACTTTATTATACCAGTAAGAATTAAGTTTTATATACCTAGAATTATTTAAACCATTTATATGGCCGTTTTGACATTTATCAGCTTGACTGAATATGTATTTATTTGATCTAAAATACATTTCTTCATAGTCAAAATATTACAAATGATGACCAGTAACAATAGGAATATGGAGATAGGAAATTATTTTCTAGATTTCCAGAATGTTCATTCTATTTGTAAAGAATGTTATTTTTTTAAATGGTCATTTTGACAAGGAAAATATGTTTTTTTTTTTTCAGATATCAGGAATATATATTCAGCAAAACTAATACATGTTAAATCGGCCTCCTGCCTGTTTTGACCATGATAACATTAAGGGTATATTGCTTGAATGGTAGTGGACCAGTGTTTCTATTTAGCTGAAATAATCTGCCAGCAGATGAAGATGAAGTCTTAAAACATTGTTGTAATACATAGGACCTGTTCATCATCTAATGGGGTTCCTCCTCAGTTTGATTCTCTATCTTCTTTTGCAGAATAAATATCAAGTGTCTGTTTGCAGCCGAGCTTTGGGTGTTCTCATCCCAATAAATGGCGTATTAGCAGTTATGAGTCCCATAGAATGGCTTCAGATTGTGCCAGTAGGCTCAGTAGGTTGAATAGTAGGTACGGTAGGTTGAAGAGTGAATCCTTATCCTAACCCTAAGGTAATTCCTTTCCCCCTCAGCAGAATTAATTAATCTAAACTACTTATGTGTAATCTGAAAATGATTTCAGTAGTTCTTAATGTACGGTAAAAAAATAAATACATAAAAATAAAATGAACCGCATCCCGCTCATATTAAACCAACCAGATCCTCTTCAAACAGACATGCAATGTTTGTCATTATCACCCAATGTGTCTACTGGACCTAGTGAATGCTTTTTTTTATTTTATGCACAAAACTGATAAAAATCAGATTAAATCAGGAAATAAAACAACGTGACTGGCTCTAAGGAGAGCAGAGACACAGGGCACTCTGTGTTTACTGAACAAAACCTGCTCCTGACCAGGTTAGCACTGGGGAGAATGTTATCATGGGGACTGAAGCAGAGGTTGAGTAAACTCTGTATGCTCAACGGAAAACTCAGCGTTTCCCATATTTCAATGTTTAGAAGACTAATTCAGTAACCCTGCTTTGTCAAATGGACGCCTGGATGACAGAGGTAAGGTGAGACAGTGTTCCTGAGCTCAGGCAGGAGCACAGGGGAATCAATGTGAGAACAGGGACTGAGAGAGCCCCTTGACCAGTATGAGGTGGCAAGTTATACCACCTTAGACTTAGACAACTTGTATTGTCATTTCGTATACACAGAGTGTATACAAAACGAAGTTTCATTTAGTAAAGCCTAGCTCAGACAGTAAATGAATATTTCTTTTCCATAAAGCAGCAGTGATCAAATGTAAACGCTGTGTGTGTGTGTGTGCTTTTGCCGCATGTCTTTCCCCCTCTCTCATACCCCCGTTCCTGTCAGCCTACTGTCCAAAAAACGAGCCACTAGTGAGATAAAACCCCCCAAAACAAACAGTGTGGGAGAAAAAAAACATGGTGCAAAAAACTTGTTCATTAAGGATCAGGAAGCGATCAGGAAGCAAATCGAGTTGATGGGAAAATGGATGTTAGCCTGGGTGCCATTCCGAACTTAGTCCCGCCCACAACGTTTGAGGTCGGGAAGTTCGGTCTGGCATTGCTCAACAGTAGCGCAAGTATACTCGCCAATATCTGGCGGGCCAATCAAATTGTCAGGGCGGGCTTTAAACGATGATGGACAGATGATCAACAGTAACGTAATCAACCACGTCACCAAAGCGCCTTTGGGTGACAACAACAATGGCTGCCGCTGGAGAGTTGAGGTGAGTAGATTCTGCTATTAGGTCTGTTCTAGAAGATATC